CCAAGCCGCTCTAGCGAGACTACATAATGTACTGTCTGATGCACTAAATCCGACAGACCAAGAATCGATCTATCATGCACGTTGTGTAACCCAATACTTGGCTGTAACAAACTTATTTCAAGATTAAAAAAAAACAAAACCGTAATTGTTTTGATATACTGTAACCGCCCTAACAGAGAAATGAGTTATAGTGAAACACAGTTGATGGAAATGATAACTGTCTCAAGCGCCACATCTGAAACCGACTGTCTCAGATCTACAGATCAGCGCTTGAGACAGCATTGTTGTCTTTTCTCTGGCCAGTAGCAGTCCACTTGTCGGTCTACCGCGATAGAAGGATCCGATCTTAGAAACGTGATAGCTTGCGTAATGACTTGTCACTTCTCCTGTATTTTTAATTTTTAAGACAAAAAAAATCTTAAGTTATTTGGTTATGGCTGATACGGTAACATTAATGATAATATTCTGATATGCATGTATACCAATTGGTTGCTTTCTTTTTGTCTTATCCCTCCCCTGGCTTTTTTTCTTCTAAAAACATGTCAGAAATGTTAACTCCCATCACTCCTACCAATATAAAGCAGTTCGATTCCACAAGATGTGTGGTATGGATTCGATACCTGGTATCTGTCCAGATTTATTTGGCGGGAGAGGAAAAGCGCCTGGCACAACCTCTGACCTGACAGACGCGTTCTCATTGGTCGCTGCTCGCAAACATGGCGTCCGTCCTCGTTTGGGAAACAGGAAGTGGCACTGCAGTGTTTACAAACAACTCCCCCCCCCCCTGACCTGGCAGTCAGTCAAAGAGCTTAGAACTTAGAACTAGATCTAGATCTACTGTAAACTCCTTGCCTGTGGCAGTCAATTCATGTAGTCAGGCGAGATGAGCGGGGAGGGGGAGGAGGGCGGCACCAAAGATCGTGTATTAGAGAATCTTTGGCGGCACGCCACTCCGCTAAAAATAGTTTATTTTATCAATAGTAATAATAATTGCTGTATTGCAGCTTTATCTATCTTCTCACTTTCTCTTTTTGACGGACAGCTTTTAAAAAATTGTAGATCTACACTACATGCATGTATTAATGTACAGCCCAGTAAAATCATCGAAGTGGCTGGCCTGAGAGTCTAGCGTACTGCGATTACACTTCCGAGGCATTTTGCGATCGATTGGATTTTAAAGATCTCTTTGGCCACCACTTGTCATAGTTTTTCTTTGTTTGTTTGTTTTGTTAGCTGTTGAAGTGTTGTTGTTGTTTTCTGTCTTTCTTTTTGGGGGTTAAATTAAAATAGAAGAATGTATTTGATATAAATGTAAAAAAGTGGCAGAGACCAAAAATAAAAACACACACAAAAAGATATCTCGTACAGAAATCATCAATGGTTGAATGAGGCCGTCTACTTGACCATCTCTCCGACGTGCCCAGCTTGACCAGTAGATCAACACCCATGCATCCACCCCCACATCAACACCCATCCACCCCCACCCCCTTATCACCCCCATGCCTACAGATCAACACCCATCCACCCCCACCCCCTTATCACCCCCATACCTACAGAT